CTTCATAAATCATAATATGCCCTATTGTGAAGAACGATCATAACTTTATTACAGTAAGACTTTGAGGGCCACAGCTTGGGCTGCGTTTGAGTAAGAGGGAGTTACTTGTAAAAATCGTGGATTTCATGAGATAGTGCACCTACTGTATGCTTATTATGCCAGTTTACAGGCGCATGAGTTTGGCAACTTACTGTACCTTCCTTTCGTTGGCCTTCGCTGAGGACCGTTTCACTACCTGCTCTGTGTAGGTGTACTGGCACAGCTGTGGGCCTGCCCCATTTAGCCGGCCTCTATGTTGTTGCGGCGATACCTCGCCATGCGTGCCGATTTGTAGCAGATCAGGATCCATTTTCTGCTCCAGCGTCAGATACCAAATACCGAAGGGCCAAGAATCACTTCCATATCTTAATTAACTGTTTCAAGCCAGGTTTGAAGTTTCCTCTTTGGGTACTCCAGGTGGGCAACGGCGCCGGATCGAGGACAGTATCACTGACGATACAGAACGCGCCCAAACCATCTCCGTTGGTTTTCTTAGATTGCCTGAGATGACCCCGCAATATTGTTGGAGCAAGTACAGACTGTCTCATTCGAATTCAAATCAGTAAACTTAATTACATAGATGACTCCCAAGCAGCGGTAATCAAACACTTCCAGTTTTGGTTCAACTTTCGCGTGTGAAGCAAACCATTCAGAATCGTACTGGACTGGATGGATGCATGTCTCGTATATACAGATCCTTCGGACGAGGACGATGTCGCGTCGGGTTTTCGAAACCCCGCGAGTATCATTAAATCGGAAAACGATTTCGTTCTAACTCTATCTGCTTAGCAGTAGTCTCGCCCTGAGGTAACTGAAGCTGCCTACTCTTTCAAATTGACGGCCATGAATCCCGTGGGATCCCTTTTTCTGGTCATGGAAACACGTGGGCCAACAAGATCATACCGTCAGCGTGGTGAGGTGAGTCAGTCGGCGTTCGGGTGCAAATTCAACGCCATCATAACCGTATTGAGCTCTTCTGAAAATCCACTCAAAGGTGGAGTTGAGCAGAATTCTGAGTCTTAACGCTATATCCATTCCATCTGTCGATCTAGGCCTCAGTAAGATGAGTGAATATACTCTTTTTGTCCTGCCTAGCCATCTAGGCAGCACTTTTCTAGCTCAGATCGGTACAGGCAAACACAACTGGAAGGTCAGCGTATAGTAGAGTGAGAAATAGCTTAAACGTGTGCAATCTGTTTATCGGAATCGTTCCTTAAAAGTGCTTAGACTGCCAGTCGAAAAGGTAAACAATAATAATAGCTAGTGTTTTACGAGATTTCATGTACACCGAAGGGGCAAACCTGGAATAGTTTAATTATAAAAGGTTACTCACCACACGCCTTGCGATTACCTCGACAGATTTGCAGCAGAGAAAAGTAAACTTACCTTGAAATAGACGTTTGGCTTCCTCTGATTTAGACGAATGCCAACACTTTCCAATTCTTTTTCCAGCAGTTCCCTGAAAATTTTATGATAGAATGTGAAAGCTGCTGTTTTCATCATATCTGCTAGAGAGGTGTGGGCGATTTCGACAGTC